ATTTGTAAAAAATCAGAAACTTAAAATAGGAGAAGTATGATTCCATTGTAGGCTTATACAATGTATATGATAAAATGTATATATATATATATATATAGTCAAAATCCTATAGCATAGTAGATGCATAGTTGTCACACTGATACTTGAGAAATTACGAATAAGTGCCTATTGACTACTTAGAAAGGAATACGGATGATTAACGTTAGGTTGAGTGAAGTTACAAATGAGATGTTAATATGTGATTACTATGAGTAGTCAACTAACTCCGTATTATACATAGTATAAACTACCTAAGAAATGCATACGTTAATCACTAGAGCTCGGATTTATATGTAAATACGTAATTTTTCTGTGATTTAATAAATTAATTTAGATTAGTGATAAATTTGTTTCAAAGGGTTTCCATTGAAATTAATTATATTTTATTTTACATATTTTTACATATTTTGCCATAAGTACATGATTTTACATATTTCTTAATAATTCTGTTTTTCTTACATATTTCAACAAATTAAATGCTTTTCCTCCAAAATAATCCATTTAACGTATTTAGTACGGAATAGCAGAAACCATATGATCAAAATTGATAAAAGTAGGTAAATTAATATCTACAGTCAAAAAGATATTTTTAAAAGCTCCTAGCCAAATAGAAATATTCTAGCAAATTCGGCTGAATAATTTGATATATTTTTTTTTAAGATCAGACAACGTGCCGGTGCTGATGCCAAATTTGGAACCTCCCCTTGGACGATAGGGGCCCTAGCAAATTCCAAAAATGCCCTAGCAAAATCTAGCAAATTTGGCTGAATAATTTGACATATTTTTTTTTAAAATCGGACAACGTGCCGGTGTTGATGCCAAATTTGGAACCTCTCCCTTGGACGATAGGAGCCCTAGCAAAATCTAGCAAATTCAGCTGAATAATTTGACATATTTTTTTTTGAAATCGAACATAGTGCCGGTGCGCCCACAAAGATAGTACCGGCATGTTTGTTTGCGGATTATCAAAGTTTAGGGGCCCTAGCAAAATCTAGCAAATTCCTAGCAAATTTTTGATACCATTTACATAACTCTAGCATAATGTGCCGGTGCCAACTTGACGGACATCATTAGGACATAATGTTGATAATTTAGTAATAAATCGTTCATTGATTCACCGAGTTCGTGAAAAAGTACGAAAATTGTGAGCAGAACAACTACGCTTAAGTTTTAATAAAAATGTATTTAAAGAATCCGTTGTACATTGGGATGAAAAAATGTTACCTTCATTGACCGGTAAAGATTTAGTGGAAAGACTACCAGTACTAATTTCATGTGAAGGGTGCAAACAACTTTTAGGGGTTTCCCAGTTATCAGCTGGAACAGGAAAAGAGCAAGCTGAAAACGTTTTTCAGTTATTAATAGATTGGGGGATTGCTGACTCGGTTGTTGCAATTTGTTGTGACACTATAGCATCCAATACTGGTCATTTGAATGGTGTATGTGTCTTACTAGAGCAGCACCTCGAAAAAGATATGTTGTATCTTATGTGCCGTCATCATATCTTTGAATTGGTGTTAAGTTGTGTCTTTGAAGAAAAATTTGGCATTACGTCAGGACCCAATATTCCACTTTTTAAAAAATTCCAAGAATACTGGAGCAAATTAAATACTAGTAATTATAATTCGGGTATTAAAGATAGTAATATTTGTATGGCTTTATCACACACAAAAAATTATGTGTTTAGTTTGCTGTCGATTATTCGAAAGAAGAACAATTTCGTGAAGATTACAGGGAACTTCTAGAACTTACGATTATTTTTCTCGGAGGAACTCCACATTGTGGAATATCATTTCGTATTCCAGGTGCTTCCCATCATGCTAGGTGGATGGCCAAGGCAATATACTGCCTAAAATTTTTCGTAATCAATTCAAAATGTCACCACGTCAACAAAAGGCATGCCAAGATACATGCATTTTTATTGTTTCTATTTACGTAAAAAGTTGGTTTCGAGCGCATATAGCAATTGAAGCACCATACCAAGATCTTATATTTGTTCAAAAATTACAAGAGTATGAAAATATAGATCAAAAAGTTGCATTAATAACATTAAAAAAAATGTGTGGACATCTTTGGTACCTAAGTCCTGAAACAGCAGCACTTTCTTTTTTTGATATAAACGTTCCACTATCAGAAAAGAAAAAAATGGTAGAAGCACTAAGTATAATTGACACTGGTGAATATAGTATTAATCGTTTCACCATTAATATTAAAAATTTGAACTTATTCAAATGTAAATGTATAAGTGATTTTATCAACAGCTCATCAGTTAAACTATTTCATAGGTTTAACATTAAAACAGATTTTTTTAAATGAAGATCCTGCATTATGGAAAAACAATCAGCATTATTTAAAGGACTTGATAAATTTACAAATTTAAAAGTTGTTAATGGTGCAGCAGAACGTGGAATAAAATTAATTAGTGAATACAATAATTTAATTACTAAGAACGAAGACCAAAAGCAATTTTTAGTACAGACCATATACGATTACAGGAAAAAATATCCCAACGCTAAAAAACATACACTAACAAATGATATTTAATTATGTAATTTATGTATAGTATTATTTGTGTTAAATTTAAATTACATATGTATAAAATGTTATGTCATGTTAAGAGTGGACTATTTTATAGCTGCTAGAAAGTTGTTTATGTAGATATGTTGTTAATTTTCTTGGTACAAAGTATATTATGTACAATTGTACAAATTGAACATGTAAAATATAATAAAAATTTAGTTTTTTTTATTTTGTGATTGAATGAGTAGTTATGTTGTATGCCAAATCGGGTAAACTCGGTAGAGTCTGTCAGCACTACAGTAACGTTTTTTAAGTTCGCACTTTAGAAAAAAACACCACGAGGAAGTTCTCAATTCAACAATTTTATTAAAAGTATTTATTTTATTGAGTCGCTGAAAATTATAATATAGAAAGAACGATTTTACAATTGCTTGGTTGTTACACGACTGACTGCTCGATAACGGGTGGTCAGGCGCGCCTACACGCGTGTATGTATAAAATGGACAAACGCAAAGTCAGCATTTGTCCCCACATATTAACATATACATACTTAACAATAATAATAATAATAATAATAATAATAATAAGTATAATAATAATATACTATAATATGCTGTGGTGCACATAAAAACGTCAGTACACCTAACCTAACCATCCAATAATAAAATATTATTGTATTATAAATAGTGCATAAATAGAGTTAATAATAGTTATAAATAGTCGATTATTTGTAGTACGTAGTCGTCACTCGTCAGTCAGTTGTGTTCATCACTAGTAGATACTCAATTTATAATAATATAATATAATATTATATTTTAGCACTCGATCAACGTTGATTTAATATCAAACGCATTATCGCATATGGTAAAAACAAATAATTTTGTTTTTCAAATTTGCGTCCGATCCGCCCGTTAACGGATTATCGCATTTGCCGCACACTTTAGACAGTTGTATTAATTTATATATATTAGTTTTTATTTCTCGACGGATTATCGCATCGGACGTATTTAACGGACGCCACGTAGGACACGCTGTTAGACTTAATACGGTCGATTTTTAAGGGGTTTAATATAGATAATTTACAATACTTTCGAACATATTGACTATCTACTTTGGACCCCAGGATTTTACTTTCCGGAATTATACGTTCCGAACAAATACGGTTTTCAAATTTTTGCCTTCTGGTGATTTACGGTCCGGGCAAATACGGTTTTCAAATTTTTGATTCCGGCGATATACGGTCCGGATTAATACGTTTTGGAGAAATACGTTCCGGACGAATACGGTTTTCGAATTTTTGATTCCGTCGATATACGATCCGGATAAATACGTTCCGGAATTAATACGTTCTGCCAATTTATTTTCCGGAATTGTATGGCTTTCCGTTTTAAGTATACCTTATATTATACGAGTAGGTATAATATATAAGTTATATAATATGTAGATATGTAATATCCAATGGTCAATAGTACATAATATTTCATCATAATTCGTTATTATTTGTAATGAATTTATATTATATGAAACCATGAAGATAATATTTGTCGACAAAATAAATAATATATTTTTATCTATAACCCAAGAAGTCGGTTGACGATGCTCACTTTAAGTACTAATGTACTATTGTCGTCATTACTATCAATAATAATTTAATATTTATACATTAATAGAACAAAATTAAAAGTCCACTTCATGAATAGTGAATACGTCAACACTAGTTTCAACTAGTGTTAGGGCTCTGCAACATAGTGGTTTTTCGATTTTGCCGAGGTGGTTTTTACATTTTTGGTTTTATAGTCACGACGGTCAAACAGTTTAAAACTTAACAGTAAAAAACAGGAGTGTGGTGAGATCATTGATAATACACATTACACACGCCAGAAGTAAATACATGTTAATCTTATTCGGGAGTAGTTGTATCGATCAAATATTTTTGATAAAATATAAAATTAATAGAACATATCCATATATTTGTTCAATAAATTTTCGTTTTATTAATAAAATTGTTAGTATTTAATATTTAATTACTTGGTACTAAAATCTATGCTATCATGTTTAGCATTGATTATTTCAATTATACACGGAAAAAAATATAAACTAAATATTTTTAGTTGGCAAAGATATAGTTGAAGTAACTACATTTTAGTTAGATTAACTGAAACGTACCTAAACGGTATAGTTAACAGAAACAGAATAATAAAGTTGAACAATAAAATTGTTCTACTGATAAATTTAGTTGAAGCAACTATTATTAAATGGTTGTTTTAAATGTCAACTAAATTGTTTACTTGTCTCTACTAAATTTTTAGGTATAAATTGGTATGTAGATAATTTTGCTATTTTTAAATCACGAATAAAAGTATTTTTAATTTATGTGGGTTTTCCTTTCTTTTTGTTTACTTGTTTATCAACCGACGTCGTATATTTCGTTCCTCGGTTTCCTGCACCCGCAGTCACACACTCCGCAGTCCGCATTCGTAACAGCCAAATTTAATAAAATATATATTATATTTGTCAGTTTGTCTTACACTCTTACGTGCTTGTGAAGTTATTTTAATAGACAATGGACGTCTTTATGAAAAAATATTTTGGCCGAATGGGGATTTGAAGATTTTATTGGAAAATTTAACGGTAAGTTAGTACTTTTTATATTTATTTCGTTAATAGTAATGAAATAACGTAGTTAGAGTGCTCATAGTATAATATGGAATATAACTTAAACTAAGTTTTTATTATATATAAGTTTCTTTTTTTATAGTAACATTATTTAATTTTATTTGTATATTGTTATATTATATGGTTTGAGCCTTTAAATCATATAAATGAATTATCATTAAAAAGTAAAATTGGCTTTTTAATCGACTTTTAACCTTATACCTAGCTGGTTTTCTGAGTAATTATAGTAGTGGCATGTGGCAGTGGCGCGAAAATACTTTTAAGTAGATAGTGCAAACATACATTTTAATCTCTCATTTCACCTCTACCTACATCCATAAAAATATTATTTGCATTTGGGCTCTTTGTTTCTACTTGGCCATCAATGATTAAAGTATTATCATGTTCTAATTGAGTAAGTATCTACTACCTACTGGCTACTAAGTGTCAATTTTTCAAAATTATAAAGACTCAGTACCCACCTTCCAATTTTACCTGAAGTACTTACTCAGCGAAACTGGCATGTGGGATATTAAAAGAAGAGATAGGTAGATCGTGTTGAGCTTTGTGATTATCACTATATGAGTATTGTAGCATTTTATAAAATCTGTGATTGTAGCCTGTAGGTAAATATTTAATATATTCATACAATCTATTAATATCTTGTTATGTATCATTGATTAATTATTTTATAACCTTCTTACAAACGTTAACTATATACTTAGCATTTGTACTCTATGATTTGTGGTCTAAGACCTTAACTTACACTATAACCTTTGAAAAACAAAAATTAAATTAAATGTGTTTCTTAAACGTCCTTTTGATATCATATTAGAGACCTACTACACAAGACTGGAACAATTATTTGTTAATGCATTATAATTTATATTTTTAGTTTTAAATACCTATTTATATATTTTAGACGAAGAAATTGGGCATGAGCAATTTATGACATTAACAGAGTCTATGATTCAAGAGCTTATACCTAAAGTTGGTAGACGATCTACTTTCCTTAATAAATTTATTAATTTTAAAAAAAATCAAGTGAGTAAAACAATACCTAAGTACATAGAATTGAATATCTATTTGTAAGTACTTACACAAAGTATGTTGAAATTGTTTTATAAAGGATAGGTATTTCTATAGGTATTATTGGGTAGACAGTAAAAATTAATTATTCTTATATTAGGTATATATTTAATATTATAAAATGTTTAATATTTTTCTGTTGCATTTATTTAAATATTTTTTATCCCTACAGAAAGTTAACAAAGATGTACACTGTCAAAATATTCTTATTAATGATAATCCGGGAACGTCATGTATTTATACTTTTTAATAATTAGCCAAAAATTATGTGCTTAGATACCTTTAAACAATCTAATTAGATGTTCATAATATTAGTTTCAGAAGACACTATTTCAGATGATGTAGGGTGTATTAATATTCAGAATTTACTATTTGAAATGGATGATGACACTTCAGTTGTAATACCATCTTTATTAATGTATAAATCCAATACAATAATTAATGGTATTATCCAACTAATGCTAAATATACATTTTTATAAGTTTAAAGTTCAATGAACATTGACTACTAAATTAAAATTACCATTAATATTTACAAAATAATTTTAGAAAGTATTCCTGCCTCAAGTAGATTGTCAAAAATGATAACTGTTATTGATTCCGAAAAGGTATAAGTATTTTTACCTTGTATTCTAATAAAAATCAAAGAATTAAGTTAAAAAAAATTTTCTAGGGAAACATTGTAAACGACATTTTGAAAAAATACCAAGATGGTTTAATGATTTTAAAATTGTACACCACAAAAGGCATTTTAAATAATGCTTCCAGGAATTCTCTTGCATCAGTATTAGTCAAACATGAATTACAAACAGAACCTAATCACCAAATTACTAAATCTAAGTTTTTACTGTTAGCAGAAGGTAAACAGTTAAAATAATATCTCTTTGAAAATAATTTTAATTCTAAAACCATACATTCCATGTTAAGAAATAGAAATGATTTTCCCTACTGAATCCAAGGACACATATTACACACCATATTGTAGAACTGGACAAATACTAATTCCAACTAGAGGGAAATTGTATGATAAATACTGTAATATAAAAAAAAAAAAAATTAAAAAAAATTGGAGCCCCTGCCACTACATCATGTGTTAATGATGATGGAAATAATTTAATCAATGATGCAGGTACTATTACCAATTGTTTCTATAATAGTTCTTTAAATTGATTTACCTAAAATTGTTAACAGTTCAGAAAAAAATTAATTATTGTTAATAGATTATGAAGACAGAATTCAATGGTTAAAAAATAATGTTGAGCCTGAACACATTTTATTCAAATACTGGCAAGAAACTTCTAATTTTAGAATTAAGAAGGCATTTTTAGAAACGCATAATTATCCTGCTTAAAAAAAACCTACAGGCTATCTATTGGTAATTAAGTTATAATATTACACCTTTGAAGATTTGCATAATAGTTTGAAATAAAATATTTCATTGCTCTAACCTAATTGGCTCAAACACTTAAAATATTTTGTATTTGTATGATACATTATTTCTGCATTTTATTTAACATAATAGTGTCATTAACTTTATTTTTTGTGTAGTCTTTAATTAATATATTTTATTAATTATACAGATTGAAATTGATTTTGAAATATTATACCCAGATAAGAAAATATTGTTATTTACTAAGTTTGATGGGTTTATAATTAAATTATCACAATTTATTGAAAAACACAATATCAAATTTGGTGTACAAGAGTCTTTAGCACTACAAGAACTTAGAACTCCTTCAAAGTCTGGTAAACTATTTAACATTATGTCATAGGTTTATTGTATATTATAACTAATAAGAATAATTAGTTATAATTGTGTTTAATATCTACCTAGGTAATGATACCATTGCAGCCTTGAGATTGATACCATTTTTATTTCAATAAATTACATTAAAATTGGATAAAAAAAGAAAAAATTGTGGTACACCTTTGACTTGGCATCCATCTAAAGTAGAACAAGCTTCAGCTTTTATAAAGTTTATTGCTGTAAGTTTTATTTCTATATTGTCATAATAAAAATATTATTATTGAATTTTTGATAGTAATTTATTACACATGTGACATTTTGATTAAACTAAAAGTAACTAAAATTATTATTTTTTTACTTATTATAGGATGCAAATGAACTTAAGACTAGTCACACTCAAAAAATAGACAAATCTGTTCAATTTGGAACTACCTTACAACCGTACGTAATTATTATTGGACATAATGTAGATACATTCCAAGAAGACAATTCCAATCATACCCCTATTGAATCATACACGGTCATAAACAATACATATTATAAATTGGAGACTCCTTTAAA